ACTTCCAACACGTCTTTGTAAAACCTTTCACTATAGTTGACAGGAAAGAGGACTGAATTGAGACGTTTAAGTTGACCTAGGTTATTTGGAGTGACGTCTCCGAGAGCTATGCGATATCTCTTGCTTTTTGCTAAGCCAGCCTCGGTGTTTGCGCTATTTTTTGTGGTAGAGCTCTCGGAAGTCGTGTTCTCCGTTGACGTCTCTTTGGCCGGAGCTCCCATTGAAATTGATGAAATTATAATAACCTCTCATGTGTCGACATTAAGATCGCGTTACATCTTCATAATCACGTGTCGCGACCGATTATTAAAAAAAAAAAATAAAAATAGAAAATAAAAATTTTTTTCACGTCCTTCCAAAATGCCTGATACCGTCGTTCCTGAAGAACTCTACTCATTAGTCTATCACTTCTTGAAAGACACGGATCACCCTAGAACGGCAGCAGCATTTAAAAATGAGAGTAAAAAGGTTTGAGCTTCACCTCTCCTATAGCGAAGTATGTATATACGCGCATTAATGAGTAATTTTATCAGCCATTTCATGAAATCGCGGATCTAAATTACGATCTCATAAAGATTTTCAATGACTTTAAGAGTGAGAAGACACGGTTGGTTCCTCAATGACCCTATTCGCTCGTGATTATGACTGTTAAATAAATACTGGTTGTTCTATCGTTTAGACGTGACGTTCACGGGAAGGACGACACAAGTTCCGAGGAAAGTTCCCCTGATTCATTCAGGTGAGCAGATTTCGTAAGTATCAATTATTTACCATGTCAATACGATTTTAAGTATGTCTTTCACGTTAGCCAAGATACCGAATCAGTTTCGGATCCATCGAGCGAATCGAGTAAATCAAGTGAGTCGAGTGAATCAAGTGAGTCGAGTGAGTCGAGTGAATCCAGTGAAAGTGAAAACGACGAATCCTCCAGTGAATCGATTTCCAACGATGAAACATTATCACAACGCACCGCACAAAGCGATACTTCCAAACTATTGAATAATGACACAACGTCCGATGACGACACGTCAAGTAGTAATAGCGAAAGTGATCAGGATTCATCAGATGATACCAGCTCATCTACAAAAGATTACGAAAAACAGAATAATGGAAATCACGATCTTCATCATTCGTCGCATGACGAGGATGACGATAGTGATGATAGTGATGATAATGATGACTCGGGCAGTGAATCTGAGGATGAAAAGTTATGTGAAGAAATTGAGCAAAAAAGTTACTCAATCATCGAGAATGGAGAGGAAATTAAAAACAATGAGAATTCTGAGGTACAAGAAATTTCGGAGAATAATCGAACAAATGGGAATAATCTCAAACGTAGAAATGACGACTTGGAAAGCTTGGAGCAAGAACACGAATACACCTTTTCCCCCAAGAAATTGAATGCTAGTCAAGAAAGGTACTGTTGTTGTTTATTTAATAGTACACGTGTAAAATGGGATTTGATATTATCCAATATTTTGTAATATTGTTATTATCTATTGATAAATCTTCTAGCGAATTTTTTACTCGAAATAGTAAAAATACAAATAAAGTAGGTGACATTGTATATCGACTTGTGACTATTCGATTTTGATAATTAAATATAATTGTTTTTTTTTTTCTTCCTTTTAGTTCACCAGAGATTCCACCAATGGACACAAAGGAAACAAACCTAATGGTTTTTTGGTAAAAATAATTATTTTAATACATTTAATCAATAAAGTTTTTTCGTATTTTACGTCTCTTACCTATGTCGCTTCTTAGAAAAGTACGATCGGATCATATGGTCAAAAGGCTCAAAAGGATTTTATTGGGGTTAGGGGTAAAGATTTTCGAGCCCAAAAAACAAAGAAGAAAAGGGGTTCATATCGTGGTGGCAAGATTGACTTGGAGTCTCATTCTATAAAATTCGATTAGCTTGGTCAGATTTGATGCGTGGTATTTTGAGTTAATTCAGGTAATTATGCCAGGAATTCTCACTTAATTTATATCACTATGTATTTAATTCTCGCTGATTAAAAACTGACAAATGTCTATAATACATGAATTCCTTTACGTTTAGCCGTTGAGAAAATTATAGTTTGTGTTGCTAATCTTAATAATAGAGTTTTTCTTGTGTAATCTTACTATCGAGTACAAGTTAAAATATAGAACCATCGATGACCAAAAAAAAAGTGAGTAAACGGTTTTCACGTAGAAATACAAACCAAATACAATCTTGCAATAATGTATATATATTGTTATTGATAATATGCTGGATAGTAATAAACGCCATTATGATCTGGTGCGGGTGGTGGCGGTGGTGGTGGTGGTGGTGGAGGCGGTGGTGGTGGTACAAAAGTTGCTTTAGGAATATTTTCACTCCCATAACTATAATACACGCTGGGGCCAAAATAATAGACCATGCCATTACTTTCAGCAGCAAATGGAATAGGCGGTGGGGGGGGAGGAGGAAAAATTGGCGGTGCTCTAGCTTGGGCATAATATCCCATAGGTGTTTCTTGTGTTTGCAGGGGGGGAAGATCGCTTTCATTGGCTTCTTCCCCAATAACATTTTCCTCTGTGTGTGCCATAGATCTCGGTTTGAAGGGTGGTGCGTAAACCGCTATGTTTGGATAGGCATTTATATGTATATATTATGCACATATACACAGCACAACATACCATTAATAATCATAATTGAATCTCATGTTATGTACATATCGACATTAATAAACTTGCTTCTTTACACCATTATCTGATTTAACTATAATTTGAATGTCGACACTTTTTTACGAATGACAAAAAAACCTCATTAAGACAAACCTGATAATGGAATCTCGCTTTTTTTTGCGGTGGTTGTGTCTGTGTTTTCGGTAGCAGTAGTAGCAGTAGTTTTTGATGTGCTGTCATTCCTTTCTGTTTCGGGTGTTTGGGTATTTTGCGCTGTGATTGTGGCAACCCTTCTCGTTGAGTATCGCTTAGAAGCTGTGGTCGTTTGAGAACGTTCTTTTTCCTGATGTTCTGCGGATTTTTTCTCCGATGATGATTCATTTGAAGATTCTTGTTTCCCAATTGCACTGCTACTTGGAGGATCTAAAATTATCTCTACTTCAGATTCTTCATCGGAATCCTCAGTTACTCCCTCATGTTCATTTATTGATAGTCCCAATTTCACCCCGTTTTCCGATGTGACATCTTTTACATCTGTCTCAGCTGATATGACGATTGTTGGTGCCACCTCTCCAATCCCTGCATCGTCATTCTTAGCAATAACATGTTGCTTGACCGCATCAGCTTCTTGGACATCATCTTGCTTGGGTTCACTTTTCACTTCAACAGTTTTATTACGATTTGCATCGTCTAGATTCTTTTCACCATCGCCTGCACCATGACCCTGACTATAATTTGCGTGAACACGATTCATGTGTGGTCGCAAGGGATTTTTACTATAACCCCTGCCGCGAACGTCACTTGTGTTTTTATGTAATTTTTGGCGTGATGTATCATTTCCTTCGACCTCATTTTTCGTTTTATTCTCCAGAGTTGATGATCCAATGTCACGCGTATGCTTTCCTTCCTCTCCATTATTTTTATCCTGAGACCTCGTAGAAAATGATTTTTTTGATCCAAATTCGACAGATTGTTCTTTATAAGATTTTTTTCTCCCGGATGAAAAGTTCGACGGTCGATTTTGATCGACCCTTGATGGTTGTAAATTTTTACGTATAGGTGACCGTCGACGATCAGCCTTCGAGCGTGAAAATGAGGTTAACTTTTTTGTCATTGGTATATGGCATTTAAAAAAATATAGCAGTTTAAATGAACAATTGATACCATGTAACCATAATTCCGACGTTGTTGCACTCTTCGTTGAAACTCTTTATGACGCCTTTCTTCTTCGTCGAGTCGCATTAGTTCCTCGAAACCATCGTGACCCCAACGCCCTTTTGGTGGAGAATTTCCCCACACTGCTCTGCCCCTGCAAAAAAAAAAAATCCTTGGGTGAGATTTCGTAATCGAAAATAGAGCAAATTAATGTAAAATAGCTACTTTGGGCCAAAATGCATATTTCGAGGACGTGGATCAAAATCATTTTTCAATTCATCTTTCGTGAAACGATCATCGTGACCCCAAAACTCTCCTAGGTGAGGTACGAAGGCCGGATCTTCGGCAAGCTTCTTGCGATATTCTTGCCTTGCCAATAATTTTTTTTGCCAGCCCATCAGAACCTTGGGGGTTTCCTTAGATGCATCAGGATCTTCTGTATGCTTTTCGTTTTCCGCCCCAGAATGAATTTCGACTGTAGAACTATTTTCGTTACGTATAGTTTCTTTAGTTGGATCAGAAATGTTATCCTGTTCGTCTTTGTCAGGGAGTTTAGAGGAATTAGAAACTATTGGAGTTTCTTTTTTTTCTGTAACATTAGTAGAGGTCGTGTCTTCGATCAAGGAACCTTTTTCTTCGGGCAGAGATTTTGTCTCTTCAGCTGTAATAGTGCTGGTGCCCTTAGTTGAACTTAAAACCTCGGTCGAAGAAGTCAACTGTTCCTTTACAATTTCCTCTTCACCATCACTATGGGAGGCTTCACTTTCAATATCCGAGTCTTCACAACTTGCTTCGGAGCCAGACAGATCACTAAGATCAAGTTCTTCCCGAGTCACTTCGGACTCATCTTCGTCTTCGCTATGAATGTCAACTTGAGCCACACGTCTCCTTAAGCGACGCAACTTATGCATTATTATATGGAAGAATGAACTCTACTAGTAAGCGAGTGAAAGTTGCATGCAAACTTCGAGTTATCTTACTATACCAAGATTTGTGGCTAATATGGCTAATAGTCTCATTGGCTATCAAGACCGCTTGTGTGATTGGTGGCTAACTATGTCTGGCCTTTTCAAAAGTGTAAACAATACCAAAAAGCTTGATGTTTCCTCGAGGGTCCTTCGTATAAAAGGAAAGCGCATTTACGGTGGCGTACATCAAGCACACATCCTCTACCCGTTTACTCACATGTCTTTAGGCAAAAACAATACTTGAGCAAAAAAAAACTTTAAATTTTCTTTGTTATTATAACAAAAGAATCTTTATAACACACTGTACATACTTTTCTATTGTACATGTCTATTATTAATTTTATCAATTTTTTTTGCTATTAAAAATCATCATTATTTCATACAATTTTTAATTATACAAATATATATTTTATTTAATGATGAAAAAAAAAAAAAATACCCTATTATACTGATATTAAAGATCTATATAAAGTTGACCACCGAATAATGGATCACGTGTCTTTGGTCGTTAGAAATATTGAACACATCATAACAACACTCATCTATAATTATTCATACGAGAGCTAGCAAATCCTGCGCCAAGTTTATATTATCAAGTTAATAA